TCTGTACCATGTGTCTAGCATCGTACTTCTGATCGAGCCCTGCCATCGCACTCAAGACGAGGTGTATTGAGCTACTATGTTAAAATCAAATTTTTAGAAACCTCAAAGTTTATGGAAAAATTAACGAAAATATTTTCGCCACCACGCAATCAAACCCGCGTACTCCGGAATCAGAGTGGCCAGACGCTACAACCACTAATGAAAATTTTAATTAAGATGATTTAAATGCAGGTGACACTATAAAACCTTAATATAAAGTTTTAATTTCAATAGCAAAGGGCGACATCTCTCGTTCGTGTAATTTTTGTAAAACGATATTGGAAATTGTCTGTATGCTGTAAAGAATACAACGTTAATTGCGCAAAGCATTGCTTGAAATGCGAAAAAACAAATAGATAAAATACGTAAAGATTTTCTTGAATGTGGCAATCAGCAATGTTTAATTTTTATTTAATTTAAAAAACACGGGTTCGATTCCCGTGGCGGCGATAAAGTTTTCGTTAATTTTTCTACCAGTAGAAAATATATAGCAACTTAATACAAGTCTAGTTAAAAAAAAATCTTAATACAAGCGCTACCTACCTATTCTGTTCAAAAGTATAAAAGTAAATTTAACTCAGTTAAAAAATACTGTTTAAGTAATGGTTTTAACAAATCATCCAATAATCAATTTATTGACAAGTTGACATTTACCGAGGTGTTACATGCTCTGGTTTTTTCTGGAAGAGAAGAAAAATAAGACGGTGGCTCACCTTATGTTTAGTGATCATGGCCGCTTGCAGACTTCCGCAATACCGGGATAAAAGCAAATGCATTGGCGAAAACTTTTTCACATTGAATCCGGTAAATAATGTAGAAATGCTACACAACAAACTTCACTTCTTTTAACAGAAGTGAAGTCGAAACAAAACTTTGTGAACAACTTATTTCATTGTTTTTATCAAAAGTTACTCTCGTATGATGAGATTTGAAACACATTTGGCTTGTCGTATAATAATCTTTAGATTTTATTTAATAACTGGATATTTTCTTAGGTGGAACATGTAAAGATTTTAATGGGACGGCTGCTGTGTACAGTGGATTCAATGTATGATCCGTTTTTAGACGACTTGGAGGCGTTCTACAGGCAAATATTGTTTCAGAAACCATTGTACTCGCCATTGAATATTTGCACACTTGGAAGGCCAGTTGTTACAACGGTAAGACAATAAACGATTCGAAACAAGCTCTTAAGATTCTCAACCCGAATCGAGGAACAGAAGTCCCAAACAAGACGTAGTAGTTTTCTTGTGTTGTGTTGACTTGGAATGTGGATGCATACCATCGACTGTACTTGGACAACGATTGTATCTGAACTACGAACTTGAACAGCCGTCAGTTACGGTACTGACTTTTATTATAACGGCCGTCGCATCCCAACCCACTTATCGTAGGTGCCGTCACCTACAGGCCCTTGCCGCTAAACATTTTCCGCCGCGATTACCGAAGACCGCGTCACGTTCTCGACTTCCCTGACGATGAGACGACTATCGCCATCGAAAGGATCAAAAAACTCAAGAAACACACCAACAACACACACCGCACTCGCCGGCGAGTGCGGCAAACATATACTAGGTTCCGCCACGTACCTGGCAGGTTTTCCCCTATCAATGATAGAAGCGTTGCTGGAGTTTCTTCCGCCACTTCTTCTCCCAGCGCCAACGCTCTCCGAAGTGGTAGTAATGTTAGCTCTAGGAATTCCCCCAGTCAGATAATAGCTACCGATCGAGCCGAGGTCCGGCCCTCTCGGGCACCCTCGAATCGGAATGCTAAACGCGTGCTGAGTGACAGTCCAAGCCGAGGTCCCCTCTCGGGGACCCTTGAGCCTGATCACTCCATGGAGCGCCCGCCAAAGCGCCCTAAGAGCTTGGCGGCCTCCCAAACCGGTAACAATAATAGCGTGACGGCCCGAGCCGAGGCTCCCCCGGGAGCCCTCGAGCTTAGTCACCATAACGCGTAATAATAGTACGCCGAGGTTCAGGCTAGGCGCCTCGTGCGCCAGGCCACCTCAAGTCCGTCGGATCTGTGAAGGCCCCTAAGGCCAACAGTGGCTCATCCAGCCAAAAAAAAAAAAAAAAAAAAAATTCAAACAAATTATGGGCAAGAGATGAGTTCACACCTGCTTCAAACTTTTTGGGTTCCATGGTCATATAAATCATCACTAGTAGTTTATATACAACACTACTATTGATATGAGAGTTATTTTCTATAATTTTACAAATTACGTTTCTTTGCCATTCATTATTATGAATAACATGAAATAATTTCACTTCGTCCTCCTCCTTCCGTCGTATATCCTCAATTTTAAGGGTCGTGAACTCTGTTTTTGAATTTTCTGTCGAACAGTTGAACAGATTGTAAGTGATACCTTATTGCCTTATTGCAGGTAATCGCAACCGTAACCACTTGCCTGGTCACAATTTTGCAATCCATTGACGGTGAACCAAAGTGATGTATTTTCTTGTATGAGAATGTAATCTCATTATTTTCAATAAATTCTATGGCAAATAATCTTTAAGACTAATACTCTCTTTGAAAGAATTGAAACTCTTGGATAATTTAATAGCAATCATTCCGCAAAAGCTTATGTATTTGTGAATAAAGTGTGAATCGACCGCCAATTGTACTTCCTTATGCATTCATTTGTGATTTGATTTTTATATTTAGTTTTTAGTGTACAATAAAGTATAAGTAAATAAATAAATCACTAAATACAAATGGAAGTACCACCTTTTCGTTGATAATCAGAACATTAATTCAAATACTCATTACTTTATACAGCACAGCGCAGATGCTCCGATTTCATCAAATGGAGTGATGATTAAGACATAGCCCAATTCAATTCAAAAATTTGTACTATTTAATGCATTAATAAACTTTAAAGAAACAAAGGACTTAAGCGTTTACATCAAAAGGAAGAAGTTGTATATGGCGAAATCTAGATTATATAGAACAAAATAACATCAACGAGCGTCGTGGCAGAAGAATGTATCTTGCGTAAAAGATGTCAGATGTTTTGCAGTTCATGCTACCCAATATACACTCATTTGCTACCTAAACAAGTAATTTAACTCATCAACAAACTAAACAAATCAAATCAAAAAACCAGTTATTAATAATAATCACCCCGTTTTCAACTCTCACTTAACCATTGCAAGGTCATACAATGGAAAACCTATAAAACTATATTACAACCATTGTTAAATTACTATTCCATAACATTAGTCATAAAAGCTTTTTACTTTAATGACTTCTAGCAACATAGTAGTGGAGTAAATTATATATAGCTGGTGAATGTCACTAAAAGTTTGATGCTAAATAATAGCAGATAAAACGAATTATGTATTAATTTATTGGGTTCCGTACCCAAAGGGTAAAACGGGAGCCTGCTCGTCTGTCCATCTGTCACCAAGCTGTATCTCATGAACAGTGAAAGTTAGACAGTTGAAATTTTCACAGATGATGTATTTTCGTTGCCGCTATATCAATAAATACTAAAAAATAGAATAATTAAAAGTGGGGCTCCCATACGGCAGATGTGATTTTTTGCCGTTTTTATAGATAATTGTACGGGACCCTTCGTGTGCGAGTGCGACTCGCATTTGGCCAGTTTTTAAATTGATGTTAGAATGCGTTCTAATTGTTCCTGCGTTTACTAGAATTCGTCTAAACTTGCGACCAATAATATTGGGAAAAGGCGACTTTTCAAACATGACAACATTGTGAACATTGTGGGGTTGGCACTATGGATATCGCTCTTAGTCAGATTGCATTAGTAAAACTAGAAAAGTTGTAATCAATGTGCCTAGAGATGACATCACGAAGACATTGCCGGTCGTTTCTTCATGATTGCGACATATGTTTAATATTTTTATCATGTCGTATCCTTATTCATTGTAAGATCCCAAAGATTCATGTGGCAAATATAATTATTACACGTTATATATGAGTGTCTTTTCATATCGTCATTTCACGTTAGACGAATTATAAACACCAAAACAAAATAAACATAATTGCTCTAATCTCTTAATTTGACATTTCTTTTCTGACGTTTTGTAAGATTCATTAGTCGCAATTAACTCAGGCTTCTCAGTTATTTTAAACTGAATTTGTTTTTATTTAAAACCACATACAAATCAGCGCTACTAGTCGCAGCGATAATAAAGGATTTCAAGGATTTTTTGTCACATAAGAAGCACTTTGATTATGGCACAATTATTCCTACAAAAAACTCAATTTGATAACAAAAAACTCAAATCCTGTTTACGGGTTGCCGACGCAGTAGCTAGTAACGTAAAAAAAAACACTAACTTTAATTTAAGTGTAGCTTAAGGTATCGCTATATATAGTTTAAGAAATCACGTACCTTTACTAGGGTAAAAAAATGTACTAGAACCCTGAATAAAAAAATAATTTATAATGAAATTTAATTTTTTTTCGGTATTTTCTAATAATAATTTACTTCTTTCATATTCATTAATAATGAAAAAGCTATCATCTCATAAAAAAATATTGAATTACCCTCATTTTGGGCGAGGGAGGTGAACTTATTTAAAGCCTATCTTAATTACATTTCGTAAAAACATTCAATGACGGCATGTAAATGTACGATGAAGTCGATGGATGCAGTTGGCTCAGGATCGTACTTCGTGGCAGTCTATGGGGGAGGCCTATGTTCAGCATTGGACTCAAACAGGCTGAAATGATGATGATGATAACGCCGCGGCTGATGACAAGAGACCTGGTTCTTTTCTCGCTCAAAGGTTAAGCATAACTATTCAGCTAGGAAATGCAGCTAGCGTTCTTGGCACCATGCGTGGATTAGGTTTATTAGATAATATGTAATTTTAGATAGATTTAAACTTTTAAAATTTTTATTTTAATCGAAATGCGAAAACTTACTCATATAAACAAACTTCTTTCGTGATTTTATACTGAAGCGAATCGGTGAACAACCATCAGTCTATGTCGAGTTTCTTGAAGGAGCCTTCGATCCCGCCGAAGAAGTCGGTGATGCATTTTGGCTTTCCCGGTCTCAAAGATTCCACGACTCGCTTCTTGCTCTCCATCGCGAAGAATTCCTCATTTGCTCTCAAGTTCGCGATAGTATCCTCTGTAATATACGATTTAGGACAATACAATAAAGAACACAAGATGTTTTGTAGATAAATTGGTAGCCGATAAGCGCTTTATTTGCGACATTGTTGTTACGCCGTATATTAAGGTGACAGTAAACTTTTGCATTAAGTTAATTACAAACTGAAATAAATTTAATTTTAGAAGAACTAAATATTAGTCAGATCTTTTTCAACAGCAAAGGCGAATTTTTGTAGATTTCAAATATTCATTGTATAAATATTATTTGTTGTTCGGCAAATATAATATATTGCTTAAAATGCAATACTTGTAAAACGATAGTAGATAGATGACAAGATAGATCAACGGCGACTTCTAGATGAATGAACAAAAAACGCGAAACCAGAATACGCAGATTAAAATCCCTCAACGCCGAAAGTCTACAATTTTATCTACAAATTTATTTACAAAATAAATAAAATAAATAAATCAACTTGAATCACTAAATAATAAAAATGTATCTTGAAAAACGCATTTTAAACTTTAAATTAAGCTAACTTTAAAGCTAATGAGATTAATAAAGCTTATAAGATTACTATTTGATGACTCCGTGGCGCAGTTGCCAAGGTATTGGCTTCGGCGTCGGGGACGTGGGTTCGATTCCCACACGGGACGACTATTTGTGTGATCCCTAGTTTCGCATCTGGGTGTTTGTCCGCGTGAAATTTATGTTTGTAAAACGTCCCACAATACAGGATAATGTTATCCTAAAGTAAGGGCAATGCTTTTCAAAAAAATAATAACAATAATTGATAACATCAGGCTTAAATCTTTAACTATACTTGGTTATTAAGTACTGCTAACAAATGCCACAATCTGTGAACTACTCTGAGAGTTATTCTTTAAAGCCAACCTCTAGCTTCTTTGTACGTCTTGAAATGTCCACCAGATTCTTTCGGTAAAGCTTCTAACGGTAGATACTGCTCAATAGTTCGGGATCCAACTCGATGAATAATTAAAGAGTCTAGTAACTCCCTCTTCAAGAATGGCTTGATGATCATCAGCAACTTGTCCATAAACGATGGTGCATTCAAGAAATGCAGTTGTTTCAGCTTCACGAACATCGCTTCCTAGAAATAGAAGATAACATGTTTTATCTATCAAATTAGTGAATGTTCGGTTAAATCTAGTGCAAAACTTCAGAACCTTTAGATGTTCGTGCAAAAAGTTTGCACTTGACTTGGTCCAATGTCTAATGTAGTACCAATTTTCTGGCAAGTAACTCTTTCACTTTGAAAACAGTTGACGTACAGTATCAGTATCGGATCGTATAACTCCAGTCGCCAGCCCACCTACACGTATCTACATCGTCATGGAGATGATCACGTCAACATATACATCCGATAGCTCTCCGCTATAGCCATAACTCTCCGATTCAACAAAGACTTGGGGCTTCACGTCCGAACATTCACACCTCTAACAACTCTTTAGTTGACTTAAGCCCCGGTGAAAAACGTGAAAAATTAGCGAGCGAAAATTTTTGGCGAAATTTAAATTTGTTGTGAAGTAGAAAAACAAATTTAACTTTCGTAGGCCTACGCAACAGTCTTTGCTGTTGCACGGATGAGCAGATCCGTTCGGGGGAGTGCCACGGTCTCACAGAAGACTGGCGTAAAGTAGAAGTAGAAGTTATTCTTCTGCGTTTAGTCTGGTGAGTGGGGTGATCGGAGCCCACTTTATTAAAAGGTGGCAACGTTTACGCAACCATTTGAGTGTTGCAAATATGCATGAGTGTTGCATTGGTGACGGTTACAACTTAATATCATGTGAACCGCAAATTAGCCTGCCACCGTCTCGCTTAAGAAAATCCTAAACGTCGCGACGCCACAATGATAAAGCAAACGATAGTCTTGCAAATTAAATTATCATGTTCCGAGGAGTAACATTTTCGTTTTTGTTTATATTAACGGTATTATTTTTATTGTAAGTGGCCAGTGTCAGAAACTTACATTATGCTTTATTAGCCTTTTTCTTAACACCGGAATATAAAAACAACAACAATCAAAAAAAATTCAAAGGCAAATACAAATTTGTCATAAGAATAAAATAATTTTCAAGGAAATGGCGTAAAAGAGGAAACTTTTGATTGATTGATGAGAGAGGTTTTTTACCAATCCCAAAAGCATTTTATCCATCGTGTACGTTTACTGTCAAAAACATAAATCTCGTACTTTACCACACCTTATGTACCTTTTTACATACCTGTAAATAGTAGAGGTACTGCTGAACGAGTATTACATCCAGCTTGGCAAGATGTGATAGGGTTATGCCCTCAAGATCGATTATTATGATGTAGCTGGGCCAAGTGCCTGAGCAATGTTGCCACAAATCTGTGATCATTACCAACGCTCTGTAAACAAAATTATATTATTCAGTACACCTACAGTAACACTTATATCCATCTTCTTAGCCGATACTGAAGCTTACACCAATGAAATGGGTAATTTAATTTTAAAAACTAATTTATCATGTACGAAAAAATACCTGCATATTTTACGCAATTATAATAAAAACATCTTTCGATGATATTTCGATATGATATTTCGTACGGTTCTGACATTATGTATATAAATCATTGTAGAATTTAACCCGAACGGCATAGTGGGTAGTGTACCAGCCTCCCGCCCAAGAGGGTGTGAGTTCGATCCCCACAACTGGAAAAATATTGTGTAATAAACAGAGTGTTTTTCAGTGTTCTATGTCATTTTAATTTCTCTTTAACTCTATAAAATTTACTTTTATTCTATAATTTAATTTAATTCCCTATAACTGGCACTTAACGAGTTATTATGTGAATAAAAATAAGCATATACTTGATACGAATAATACGATCCATTTATACCTAAGAACGTCCGCCAAAACAAATTTCTTGGCGTCGTAATCAATCAGGCGATGGTAAGATACAGCAGAGTTGTCATATGCACGCATCTCAAGAGGGAGAGATAATCTGGAATAAATTGTAAAAATATTTATTTTATATGATAAGGTGACCAAAACTACTTTATCCCCAATCGAATTTTTCGCAAATTATTATATTAGATACATTATTATTAGACAATGCAATTCTTAGGATGCAAATCCATTCAATTGGATATTAAATACGAATGAAGATAAATTTGAGATGAGTAATAAAACATTTACTTTTAATAAAATCCAAATTTTTTTTAAATATCGTTGTCAAAAAATATCTTGCTTTTAAAAGAGATACTTCAGATAAATAAATAAAAATGTTGAGCACAAAAGTGGACTCGGTAGCACAGCTAACTTTTTATAAACTTACGTAACATCCAATGCTTTTAAAACCCGTGCATCATCGACTCGTCTGTCCTTAAAGAATGTTGTGAAAAGTGTTCTTAAAGTGAATTGAAGATCAAGGACTTGTTTCGTCACCTCGGAGTTCCGGTTGCACGAGTGATACGCAAGAATTATCTCCAAATCTAACAAAGTTATTTTTCAAGTTCAATCAGAATTAGGTGTGTCACGATTCAGTAATAGTCTAAGAGCTAGCAACGTTTTCGCGGTAGGTGAAAGCAAACTCTACCGCCAGCCAGATAACCCGTATTCCCGGGAGAGTGAAAGAGATAGCATATTTGAAAACTGGCCTATCTATCTATATATATATATATGTATATACGATGGTAGGGCCACGCAGCAACCTCAGCTGTTGCACGAATGGGCTGGCTCGTCCGGGTAAGTACCACGACCTCACAGAAGATCGGTGTAAAGTGGAAGTATAATACTTTCGCGTATCGTCTGGTGAGGGAGGTGGCCGGAGCCCAATTTTAAAAAGGTTGTCAGCGCATCTGCAACCCTCGGGTGTAGCAGATGTCTATGGGCGGCGATATTCACTTAACATCAGGTGAACCTGTTCCGACTGGTCCAGCTAACCAGGTCTGTTCGCTTGGCAACTTTTCACATAAAAAAATCTGAAATTCTCTCTCAAAAACGTTGCTAGCTCTTAGACTGTTACTGTATTTAATTACATTATTATTACTATTATTGGTGAGCGCAACCTCTACCGCAGCCTGTATGATGTCCGGGAGAGTGAGCAAACTGGCCTACCTGAAATACCTGTTTTCCCGACGTTGCTAGCTCTCGGACCATAATAAACATGGCAATTTGTACTGTGGTACGGCCACGGAACAGTTCGCTGCTACACGAATGGGCAGGTCCGTCTGGGGAATACCACGATCCCGCAGAATACCGGCGTGAAGTGGAACTGTTATTCTTCTGCGATTCTTCTGGCGAGTGAGGTAGCCGGGTCCCACTTCGTTAAAAGGTGGCGAAGCATCTGCAGTCCTACGGGTGTTGCAATGTCCATGGGCGGTGGTTATCACTTAACATCAGCTGAACCACCAGCTCGCTTGCCACCGTCTCACATAAAAAACACATAAATTATCATTATTACGAATATATAGCGAAGCTATAGCGAAGCCACAAGATCACTGATGCATTTACCTTTTCTTATTTGTTATCATATGTTATACTAAAATTAAATATTGCACAGCAAATAATTCTTAGTGTATAAAATTTTATTATTAACCAAGTTCAAGTACTTTGTTCGTACTTTTAAAAACACTGCTGGTGTTCTCAATAGGAAAACAAACAAAACAAACTCAAGTCTTATAAATCTCACGGTAAATAATACAATGTATAATTCACACCTGTGACCTGTATATTAGCATTGATCTTTAAATGTATGTAAAAAGTAACTATCAACGATCCGCTTCTTAATTAGCCTACATTTATTATACCATTTTTCAAGGAAAATATTAATGTACTGGTTCATAAACTTGGATTTAGCTACATAAACATACAAAGTTTTCCATCGCAATTTTCGTAAAAAAGGGTACAGAGTTTTTGCTTCACATTTTAATACATTATATAATCTAATAATAAATATATTAATATATCTTGTTTTTATTATAACTTGTTTTACAGAGAGAAAAGTCATGCGAACCTGTTATGAATTCCGACGGTAGATGGGGTTGGGTGTCAAGCCACTGCCTCAGTTTCTGTATGTGTTCTATATTAATACCGGCCTTTTTACACTCATCTTCCACCGATCCAGAACTAACTTCGTTCGGCATATTGCTAAAAAAGAAAGATCACAGCTCCTAAAAATTCATTATTTATAAAAATACAAATCTCGACCAAGGACTCGCTTAAACATATACGCAAAACAACTTGGTGATAAAATAGTGTTCACGCTGCAACATTACCACCGAGAAGTCGAGAGATTAATTTTAAGCCTCCGTGGTGTCTTAAGACGATTTTAAATTTTGTACAGTGCTAATGAAGGATATAACAATGGATGCGCCAGATATTGCTTAAGATGATGCCGAGGAATACCTTAACGCAGTTATTTGGACCACCTCCCTCTCATGTTCATTACATTATTGATTATTTTATTCCGATGTTTAATAATTGAATTTCGATAAATAAAAATTATCAGTAGCCAGGGTTAACTTTGACATCAGAACGTTTAACTCCGTCTGTCCCCTGAACATGAACGCTGGAAAGGTTCGAAACGACAGGAGTGAAAAATCAAAATTAAAACGTTAACGTTAACGTAGTTTCATTTACTACGCATAATATTTGCGTGAAATCAAGAAATAAATATATTATTATACTCATTACTCTGAGCGTTAATTACGAACTCTGGCATCATTAAAACGGGTTATGCACTGCCATGGACTTATTTCTGCTGGAGCAGTCTGCCATATTATACAAAATTATAATATCAACATTTACAGCCATCCTTTCTAATAGCATATCCTTACTAATATTATAAACGCGAAAGTTTGTATGTATGGATGGATGTTTGTTACTCTTTCACGCAAACACCAATGGATGGATTTTAATGAAATTTTACAATAATATGGCTTACATGTCAGAATAAGACATAGGCTATAATTTATATACATATTTTATGTATATCTGTCTTTCTGTCTGAATGTTACCCCTTCAGCCTATTCTACGCAGACGTAGTCGCGAGCAGCAGCTAGTTACTCATATTTGTGCTCTGTTTATAACAAGGGCTGTTAAATTTTATTTCAATATTCTCTCTCCCAGATGACAACAGGCATATTTCTAAAATAACTTATGACAATGAATTTACAGGTTTGCCTTTGTAGGACAAACGCCCTAATTATTTTTTTTTTATTTGTAGAAGTTTTTATACAAATATTAATGTTTCATCTTAAGTGCAAAGATAAGCATTATAAAAATTTAAAAGACCTAAATATTACACAACATTTTTATCGTGGCCGAACTGAATGCGTTGATACTTTGTGCGCTCTTATAAATGTTATCCTCCGAGGTACCGATTGGAAGAACTAAAGTAATCCAAATAGTCCAACTCACACAATAATCAGGTGGACAATAATTTACGGTGGTAGGGCCACGCAGCAGCCTCGTCTATTGCACGAATGGGCAGGCCTGTCCGGGTAAGTACCACGACCTCACAGAAGACCAGCGTAAAGTGAAAGTATGACAAATACTTTCGCGTTTCGTCTGGTGAGTGAGGTAGCCGGAGCGCAATTTTCAAAAGGTTGTCAACGCATCTGTAACCCTCGGGTGTGGCAGATGTCCATGGGCGGCGGTATTCACTTAACATTAGGTGACCCGTCTGCTCGTTTGGCAAGTCTTGGCAAAAAAAATATTTGATGACTCCGTCGCGCATTTGCCAAGGTATCGGCTTCGGCATCGGGGGTCGTGGGTTCGATTCCAGCACCGAACAACTATTTGTGCGTCCTACAGACAGTTGTAACGGGTGTCTGGGTGTTTGTAGACATGAAATGTCCTTACAACACAGAATAATGTTATTCCAAAGTGAGCGCAATGTTTTTTCAAAAAATAAATAAATAAAATTTCATTATCTCATACTCTTTCATTATCTCTCCATTTATTCATACTTAATACCACATGTGCGGCCCTAGGCAACCCCGTACCAAGCTTTAGTAACCTGAAGACTGAAAGATAAATAATTAAGCAGAGTGAAGTCATTTATGTTTTTCTTTTATAAGGTAATTTATACAAGAAATAAATAGGTAAAAGGTTTTTTACGCTTGATATTCGAAATGTAATTATATAACTGCACTATTGGTGTATTTCGTTCATAAAATACCGGAAAGTCATATTTAAAGTAAAAGACATGTTATAAATAATTCATCAACATTGTCTACTAGTGCATAAAAACAATAGATAACCAAATATGCGCGTATAAGATATTTTCTAATACTTCGGTGTAAGTTGTTGTCAATGGAGCTCAGTTAATAGCCTTTATTTTTGTAATTATAATAATTTTAAGACTTAAATTTTTAACTGGCATATTAGATAGCGTATCATTAATGTAAAACAATTACGCGTTCAAAACGCAGCCATTACTACTACTGGTCAAGTGTCGTAACAAAAAAATATTGAACTAAGATAAGTGATTTTTTATCAAATGATTGATCTTAACAATATACTTATTACACTTTATTTAAGAATATATATTTTTAGTATCAAACAAGAAAATGTGATATGTAAATAAACTTACGGTGAAGTCCAAAGTATTTGCCCAGCGCTTTGTTTCACGCTAATGTCGTTTCGTTGTGCAGGACTTGTCTTCACTGCGGTATAGAGCGGTTTAATACTGCCTCATGAGAACTCTTATCGTCACCGCTTCATTATTTCCGTGAACACATTTCGACGTGTTTTGCAAACGCGACCAACCTTGAATGTTTAATTATTTAAATTTGATTTAGATGTTAGGAATCGGCGTAATAGCATCATTGACTTTTCGTTCTTATTTTATACATTGTTTATATCTGACGATACTTAAGTCAAAGCGAATTCTATTCCCTTGTCGGCGAATAACTTTTCTTCCATTTTTTTCTACAGACAATTTTTTAAACAGTATTTTTAATAGACATTACAGTATCTAATACACAGTCTTCAAAAAACAAATTTTAATTGTGAATAAATACATAACTTCCTCACACACAAAGAAGAATTTTTACTTCAAGAATGGACAAAGTATGCTTCGTGTCAATGGTGCTCTCCAGTACTCGTACAGGAGACATATGAAAATATCTCCACCACAGGATGAAGTTGTTAGGTCTTAAATGATATAAATTTTTATAATACTCCCTGCACGTAATATGAAATTTTAAACATGTAGAAAATTGGACGTAAAGTTTTTCGATACTGCAAGGATACGGAGCACCAGATACGCGCCCGACGCTCTTAACACTGAGCTAAATGGCTTATCTTACTACTTATACACTCGTATCATAAACCAAATATCTTTTCACTATTGCATATTATGATAAATAGTATTGGTTGTTCAGATCAAACCCGCCCACACAAATATTCCAATAAAAGATAATATAGTTTTCATTTATACGAACTTATATTCAAAGATCAAGTAGGGGTAGTCACTCTGCGAATTTATAACCGCTTGTCAGCGCTAAGGTAGCTTTCTCACCTTCCATGTTGGTCGCCATCGGTTATTTCTTTATCCAAAGCTTTTCACAAGGCATCAGAGTAACCAACACCACCAATTCTACTCTTTAACTGATAATCACACGGATTTAAGTCAGGGGAATATGGTGGTTGAATCCAACGCTCAATCTTATGTTGATCCTTAAATATTGCGCAATAAAAATTCAAAATCGGGCGGGTTTGATCCGAACAACCTAATATAATACCATAGACATTTAGACATTTGTAATACCATAGACATAGCCAAAAATTAGGACTTAGGCAAACAAAACTTAGGCTTCTTTGATAGTCATATGTCTTGGGCATCGCATATTAATTCTGTTAGCAAAAAAGTAGATGGAGCCTTTCATTCTCTCAAACGCCTGCAGTATTTTCTTCCTATTAGAACAAAAGTCCTTCTAGCTCATGCACTTCTTCTGCCTATTTTTGACTATGCTGATGTATGTTTCTTGGACGCTACAGAAGAACTACTGAACAAGCTAGAACGGCTTCAGAATTTGTGCATTTGATTCGTTTTTGGCATGCGTAAATTTGATCACGTTTCTGATTATAGGCCACAATTACAGTGGCTTCCTATCCGTAGTCGTCGAGACCTACACACAATCGTTCCTTTATTTCTTACTATCTAGTCCTTTAGCTCCTTCCTATCTCCGACAGAGATTTGAATATCTGGTACCTCCCGGAACTCGCTGTCGGACTACGAAATCCCACCTTCTTAAAACACGTACTTTACTAAGAGGTATGATGGATCATTTACTGTTAAGGCGGTGAAGTTATGGAACTCACTACCACGTGACAACGTGCCAGCTCTTCCCTTGACAGTTTTCGTAGTAGGATCATGAGACATTACTTATCTACTTGACAACAGATGTTTTTATTTATTTATAATGCATGTATGTATTTCTATATATTATTAAAACTTTGTATGTATGGAAGTATTTATATTTATTATTTTATACATTGAAATTTATTGTTATGATTACTTTAGTAAAATTTCTAATAATGTACACACCTTCACCTAGTTACCTTGCCATGGCAGCTCGAGTCATGCTATACTCCGCCTCGGACAACGGGCCACATCCACACCTGCAGAACATGCCACCCCTCCCGGGCGCCCGCTCCCACGAGAGCTACTGCGGTCGGAGGCCACTGGGGAGGCGGACCCGACCATACTTCCGCCGTTGAAAAGACGATGTCGTCCACGCGTTACACACCGCGTGTAACGCTGTACACCCGCCAGTGTCGCTACCGCGGTCAGAGTTGGGGATGGGCGTTGGCCATCCTCACCACCGACCAGCCTTTGCTGGTCGAGATACATGCCCAAGCAATGGGGACATGGCCCCGAGGCTTGATAATGCAGGGCCTTTGGCCAGCTGCAATACATCATCCATCATTCCAAATTGCATGTTTTATATCGTGTCTACAATAAATAAATCAAGCAAACAAATCAAACAAACATTTTTAATGATTTAAGAGAATGAATCCATTAACGGTTTTTTAATTAAATAGAGTAAACTTCCTCTTCGTCTCCACCTTTTTTATTTCTGTAATTTTTTTAAGAAAATATCGTATTTTTAGTATTTCATCATCATCATTTCAGCCTGTAAGAGTCCACTGCTGAACACAGGCCTCCCACACAGACTGCGACGAAGCACGATCCCGAGCCACCTGCATACATCGACTTCCCGCACACTTGCACAGGTCGTCACTCCATCTACTCGTCCCACACTATGCTAGCCAGTACGAGGCTGCACTCGAGAACCTTTCTTCCCAAACGGTTACATTTAATCTTATTCGTTTTTCACATATTTATATTGTAACTTATACTAAACTAGCTGATATATTTTGCTGGTGTCAATATAATAACTATTACGTCGTTTCACCCATAATTAAGGACCCGAATGGCGGAGTGGGTAGTATACCTGCCTCCTGCGCCAGAGGGTGTGGGTTCGATCCCCACTACTGGAAGATACCATTTAGTTTAAGATACCGTGTAGTTATTTATGTTTCTAGGCATGTTTCGACGTGTATTTGGTGAAGTAAAGAAATAAATATATAGTCATGTAACCGTAGATTACATTCCCACGTAAAGGTATAATACTACGGTCAGAGTAGTTCCTCAATCGTCGTCCAAGTTGTAGTCGTATTTGTGTAACCGAAAGTGCAACGGTACCTTAAAAGTATGAAAATTTGTTACATCAATAATATTCATCAGGTTAATTTCAAAGAATATAATAATAAGAAAGAATAAGAACAATAAATAATCAACATTTTCTTAAATATTACTTTGAAAGCAATAGTAATTCTAGATAATTTTGTAAAATTGTGTATTTGATTCTTCTAAAAATTATGATAAAAGCATCACAAAAACACAAACTCATTCTCAAGAAACACATTTGTGTCAAATCAATATCAGTAATTTATTAATTCATCATGATCAGTAATTTATTAATTCTTGAATAAAGCCAGGATAAAAATAGCAATGTCTTTTATCCGAAGACTGTGCTAAACTTATTTCTGAAGTAAGATATACAATAAAAAACTACAACATATCAACGCATTATTTTAAATTATTGCAGTTTGCAAAATTCACATCTGGAATTCAAGCCTTTTGTGCGATGAGTCCACCTTTTGAATTAAGAGTCGGTAAAATTGTACCGGAAGCGAATTGTATTGCTTTCTCCGTCATTATGCATTAAATAAATTTGGAGTAACTTCGCGATCATTATGAATTACATCAGCTTTTATGGTCCTAAACTAGGCTTATACTTCGAAGGTAGATACAACATTGTGCCCGTCGTTTGTGTTATTATTGACGGTCCAAATGATGTAATTTTATTACCGTATCTTGTTAAAAACAATTTTAATACTCTGATGCGCCAACAATCAGTGCAACCATTCCTCATGAGCCACAGATAACGAGTGCTTCGTAGCAGAATTGCTGGCATCCTTTGCCAGGCTATATTGCTATTATTTCGCTGTGTTCGTGTGATGCCATTTTATTGCTATGTTATTACTGGTGCACATTTGAACTGTAGAAGAAAAAAATTATAAAATTCGCGGCCCTTTTTCTTTTCTTATTCTCGTCTTCTTGTGAACATCAATATAAACTGAACTTTGTAGTATTTTAATATGTCTCCGATTCAATATCACCGCATACACAGTAAACGAATTAATTTCCTCTGCCACTCATTTTTAGGGTTCCATATCCAAAGGGTTAAACGGGACCCTATTACTAAGACTTCGCTGTCTGTCCGTCTCTCACAAGGCTGTATCTCATTAATAGTTATCGTGATAGTTAGACAATTGAAATTTACACAGATGTAGCATTTCAATTGCAAAAAAAACTAAAAACCAGAATAAAAAATATTTAAGTGGGGCTCCCATAACAATATGCATAATAACAGATACGATATTTTGCCGTATTATAGATAATTTACGGAACCCTTTGTGCGGGAGTCCGAATCGCACATGGCCGGGTTTTCATTTCCATGTCCACCCAACCCAACAACACTTAGCACCTCACTAAAAGATGAGCGGACCCAATTGAATGTCGCTAGTGATGTGCGAGTTATCGAAGTAAAACTACTCATTAAATTCATGGTTGCTATTAGGAAAAACCACACGCCGACAGTAAGAGAAACTATTTATTAGTTAATAGTTTCGTAAGTTTTATAGCTTATTACTGTTGTTGATTTGGACAAAAAGACTTTTTTGCATTTCGTGTAATGGACAGTCCGTGTGTCCAGAATTTTGTGGTAAAGAATTTGACATTAAACAAAATTTTAAATATACAATAGAAAAGAAGAATTTATTTAAGTTATCACAGTGAAGTTAGATTTAAACTCTAAAGCAGCCTAAAAGGTAGAAGAAAATTCCCTATTAAAAATTTCGTGATAAGCGGCTACTTTTACTGACTCTTATCACTAAACAAAATTAATATATTCATAATTTAATTGGAACTAAAAAATAAAACTTTGTGTATTTGTTTTTTATTAAGTGCCATTTATATTAGTTAAAACATGTAAGTGTCAAATATAATGTATGTAATAAATAAATAAAAATTGAGATGACAAACTCGTCACTGCGTCAAAAATGTTATAACAAATTTCAAATATTCGGTATCGGTATGCGGTTTTGACCACACGACGCTCCAAAATTAAGTGTTTCATGGATATACATAAGATCAACTAGTGGACTTGTTAATAGAGCCCCGATTTTGTTCACACTGCATTATTTCCATTAACATATTGCACTAATTCCATTTCATTTTCAGACCTCGCTTCGTTCTAATATCAAAACGAGCCATACGTATTCAAAGTGAATCGGTTCAAATTGCGCACAACAGTCTACTTCGAACACCAAACGCGCAAACTTCTCGAAGGCTCATTCTATCGCTCATTGGTCTCGTTAGCGGGCAAACTCAGTCAGTGAGTGCCGTGCAGTCGTGCGATCGATCCGTCCTGTCCGCGGGTCCGTGTTGCGAATTCAAAAGTGAGTGACGTCCGTTCTTGTGTTATTTTCTTCCCGATAAAACATTACAAGGTAAATGATCATAAAATTATATTAGAATAGGAATTGTTTCTAGAAAAATTTCGATACGGTTTGATAGTGTGCAGAATTCATATCTTTTTATTGTTTACCATATGTTTCTTATCGCAATTATAAAATAAATTCATAATCAATTATGTTTTTAAGAATAGAATGAATCTATTATTCCATTTCAAGCATACATTAAGATTTAACTACGATAGATTTAAAAAAAAGGCAAAAGACGTATTACCTTATAATTTCGACATTTTTATATACATAATGTAGTCGTGATAACAAATCATTGTAATTATTTATTATGTACATTTATTCAACACTCAACCAGCCCTTAACTATACTTAATTAAAATATGAACGCAAAAAGGTTACATTTAAATTTAATATGTGTATGTCAGGCGTATAAAATATGAATAATCGTATAAATTAATGTCGTTCTGACGGAATGCGGATATGTGGGCAAGATTTTTAAAAGTTAATATGATGTTAACAGTGTATAAAGTTTCGTTTACAGCATTCACATCTACTTGGTTTCTTTATGAAGTAAGAAAACTTAGGTTTATGATTACTTTAAGTAGTTTTCTATTTAATGAGAATGAAACAAAACTAATACATTTTTTAGATTAATTGAGAAGTGATACGAATATTAGTCATGAATTTGAACGCTACATCTGCAAACTCTATTTGTAATCCTCGTGTATACGACTTTAAGGTTACCATGGCGGCAGTAAATTTATGTGATGCAATTTTGAAATAAATTTTTTGTATTTTTTAAATAAAAAACGAACGTCTTAAAAATCATCAAAACTCAATGTGCGATATTTTTTGCGATCTCGTTGATGTCTTTTTCTCCCCCAATGAATATCAAATATTTTTCGTAACAAACTTAGTACTTATCCACCCACTTACACATGCTACAAAAACAATCAAATATGCAAAATGTTTAGCTGTACATAAATAAATTTTCAGTAACTTATAAAGTGTATAATGAGACGAATGTGTTTAGAAGTCTCACTTTTCCTAATATTATAGATCCCGCAGGGATATAAAAATAATTCTATCCTTCAATATATACTCATTATTCCATCGTAAAAATGGATAATTATGTACGTAGAACGAATAAGACTTGGGATAAGAATTAAAAAATTAAAAACGCTGAGATCTGGGATAAGACTGATAACACTTAGATCTTACGTCTCCTATGTTATTGGTTCCGAAATATGTTGAATGGATTTTACTCGTTCAGCGCTGTTTGAAATAAATTTCAGTAGAAACTAAGGTCTTGTTTCACTAAAACTTATATTTTAAAACATCCAATCTAATCTCGTTTTATTAAGTTTTAGCATAGAACACATCGAATGTGAGAAGGGAAAAATTTAAAAATAATTCTAGCTTTAGCCGCTCCAAAAATTAGCATAAATTACGTAAGCAATTTGACCTTTCGTTTTGCTATTAAAATCACATATTTTCACTAGCGTTCAGCCATCAAACAAGGTCATTGCCTGACTTGACATACGTCTGTAAATTAACAATATCAAGGTGAAATGAACGCGTGTGTCTTATATGAAGTTGCTTCTTAAACGTATAGTTTCAAACCGTGCTTAAAATATTTTTAAAACATTTACAATAATGAAATAGCAGTTTTAAATAATTTATGCTGGAAACTAAAACTGCTTTGATATCGTCATAGAAATGATTCTCCTTTAAGGAAAATAAATAAAAATGTTAACGATCAACCATGAAATATTCGTAATGGTGCAATACCTTAATTAATTACTACTGACTACGTCTGCGTAGAATAGGCTGAAGGCGTAACAATCAGACAGAAAGACAGATAGATATACATAAAATATTTGTATAAATTATAGCCTAATTCTTATTCTGATGTATAAGCTATATTATTGTAAAGTTCCATTAGAATCCATTCAGTAGTATTTGCGTGAAAGAGTAACAAACATCCATCCATACATACAAACATTCGCGTTTATAATATTAGTAAGGATTTTTTTATCAATGTTTAAGATTTTTGAAGAAGAAAGAAGTATAACTTCAATACAATAAATTATGCCGGTAAAATTTTTACGATTCGCGCGTTCAGCTACAGCCAAAAAACGAAATGATGACCGAAACGAAAAAAGAAATTTCACGGTATGACCATGGCAATCAATAAAAACTTTTTGACATTTACCTATAATTACAAATTAATTAATTAAAACGTTATCAATTACATTAAATGTCTTTTTCACAAACAAAGAGTACTGGCACAGGGGTTAAAATTTTTAGTAAAATTTTGCCTAACGGCTCTCTTCAGCTCCAAAAGACTATAATTTAATTACGTCAATTATTCAAGTAAGCCCTAAAGATACATAGCTTCTTTACAATCATAATAATTTACTCAAGGGCAATGTTTTTATACACAAAAAAAACTCAAAATAGTGTTTTCAGACTAACTTCTTCTATTATACTTCTTCCTAGCGACCCACCCCGGCTTCGCACGGGTGCAATGTATTATACATAAAAACCTTCCTCTTGAATCACTCTATCTATTAAAAAAACCGCATCAAGATCCGTTGCGTAGTTTTAAAGATCTAAGCATACAAACGGACAGACAGACAGCGGGACGACTTTGTTTTAGACTATGCAGTGATAACTAGGGGCCTTCAGGCCCTGAGCCTACCTCTATCTTAAAAGCCGACAGCACTTTTGCAGCTCCTTTGGTTTTACGAAAGTTCATGGACGACGTTGGCCACTTAACGATCAAATAATAATTAACTGAATGGATATCTGAGTAGGAACTATAGATGTGGAAATATGTTTCCTAGTAAGCCACTCTTTTTTGTGAAGAGTTGTAATATTTTTATTTAAACTACGATGGGGAAACGATATATTGTATAAACAAAACTATTAACTGATTTTTTCAATATTTTTTTACGCAGAACCATGTGAGGGGTTCATTATAATAATATAAATATTTCTGCACATGTTTTTACACAACGTTTGTAATATTAGTAAGGATTTATATATTTTATAGTATTATTTATTACATATTATTTTATAGTATTACGTTTTATTTATTTTTACTACTTTTTATGATTTTGTTTACTTCTATTATTTTTTTCTCTTCTTTATATATTTTGAGTTAGAGTAAAAGTATATCTAGTTTTACACACCTACCTATCATAATATAATGATTTGTTTCTCATCAATCTTATGTCAGGGTTTGCTGGAAGAAAACTCTTTTTAGGGTTAAGCTCGCCTTTGTACATTTTTTTTGGAACTTTGTTTTCACTTATACTCTTTGTCCAATAAAGAATAAAGAACGTTATCTAGTCCCAAACTAAACAAAGCTTGTACTATGGTCACTAGGTAACTAGGTAAAAGGTAGGTGCGATAAACATAATAAGACGTACTCTTCTAAAGTAAATAAATACTTAATATAGATATATATACAAACATACAGTAAAAAAATACATTAAAGACATTTATTCTGTCACCTTACAATAATGATACTAAAATTACAAAAATATATCCAGAGAGAAAAAAAATTGTTAAAACAGTAATTATAATAATATAAACAACTTAAAATAATAAAATGCGTGTTGTGATAAGGTGGCGGAAGGTCTCAGCATAAGCCGAAGACTATGTTCATCACACATTATTTTTCCAGTTTCTGGCGCAAGAGACAGAGTCACAATCGACTGTGCCAATTAGGTCGTTAATAGTATCATTTTAGAGTTCCGTTTTCTCACGCAACAAGTATTACTTCAACCGTTATTGGTACTTTACTGTAGTCGCGCTTGTAAACAAACCACCAGCAGTCCAAGTGAACGTAACACGTAACGGCATCGTGTCGACAATGTCTCGGCTATCGATGCGGGAACGTTTCAAGCGACGCGACGTTGGCCAACGCTGTGTGGAAATATGATCATATCTGACTAAAGCGTTGCGAGAGAGGCTCTAATACAGTTTTATTATCACCAGCGTGTTATGTAAAGGTTGTATCTTAGGTCTAGGCGCAAAAAGTATACCTGGACACAACCTGTTATTAATTTAAAAAGCAATAGCGAGATACGGTTATTCATTTGTTTTATTTATTTGAATACGCTTACCAACTAAACACATACATAATTATAATATCATTCACATAAGATGTACTGAAATTAAATAGTACTAAACCATATTAATATGTAAGAAATTTAAATTAAAGGTAAACAGAACATTTATCTTAAAATTTGTTCTCAGATACAGGAACCTACTAACTTGTTAATTGAAGAAAAAATTACACAAAATAAAAGAAAATACATTTTATCATTTTTTTTGCTTTTATTCGCTAACGTCAAAAATTATTTATAAATATAAATCTATGTCATCATCACAGATTGGGCATCGTTCAGTTTTGGGCACAGACCGTTCTCTCTTCCAATAGCGATTCTTATAAATTTTTAAATAAAATTCTGAACTTCACAAACAGTTCACAGTTTGGGCAGACTGAGGTTAAACCATTGAGATAATACTTCAGCTTGTTAAAGTAGCAGTTTCATATATATTCATCATAAATATTTTAAGGAATATTTAACCTTTCCTTTGGTGGAATTGTCATTGATAGTTAAAGATTAAATGTTTTTGGATTCGTAATAACATAAATATCTGAAAATAAAATCTGCCACGAACCTTTACCACCAAATGCACCAAGCCACTGAAACGCTGCCATCGAAGATCAAATACGTAACTCTGTACGATGATAACTCATCTATGGCTTCGACGCCAGGAATCATGGGTTCGATTCCCACACAAGACGCTTATTTGTATGACCCACAGATAGTTCTTTCGTATCTGGGTGTTTGTCTACGTGAAATTTGTGCATGTAAAACGAACACAGGATAATGTTTGCCCACAATAAGGGAAGACTACATTAGATCTAGCTAGCAGTGGTCGCTGTAACTTGCCACCCAACTCCTTTCGCACAAAATACAAATACTTACAACGCTGTACGAAATG